GCAGGCCCACGGAGCCTGCAGCCCCGGTGGGACTGAGGGGACTGGGCACCACCATCTTGTGGATGTGGGGCCACCATCTTTGAGGGCATGGCAGTCAATTAGCATATTCCCTCCTTATTGGCTGTGGACACCACCATCTTTGAGGGCGGTGAAGTCAATTAGCATATTCCCTCCTTATTGGCTGTGGGCACTGCCATCTTTATGACAGCATGAGGGTTAATTAGCATATTCCCCTTTTATTAGGGTAGACAAGAGGTCTGGTGCACAAAATTTGTGCATGGGTGGGGTCCCTAGGCCTGGCCGGTGATCAGGGCCTATAAGGGCCATCTCGCTCAGTCCCAATTGGAACTGCCAGCTGCCAGATGGGGCCAGAGGGAAGTTTGCCAGCCAGGGGTAGGGACTGGGGGGCTGGCCATGGGACGTTGGCTGTGAGAGCGAACTGACCACCAGGGGGCAGCTCCTGCATTGAGCATCTGCCCCTTGATGGTCAGTGCACACCATAACGACCAGTTGTACCAGTCGCTTAGGCTTTTATATATATAGACTAGAGGCCTGATGCACAAAATTCATGCAAGAGTAGGCCTTCCTTCCCCCAGCTGCTGTCACCGGCTTCCCTCTGGCACCCAGGACCCGGGCTGGCTTCCCTACAGCCCCAGCTTCATCCAAAAGGACATCCTTAGCATATTACCCTTTTATTATTATAGACTAGAGGCCCGGTGCACAAAAATTTGTGCACTCAAGGGGGTGGTCCTTCAGCCCAGCCTGTGCCCTCTCTCAGTCTGGGACTCCTTGGGGGATGACCACCTGCTGGCTGAGGCCTGCTTCCAGGGGGATTGGGCCTAAGATGGCAATCAGAGATCCCTCTGGCAGCCTGGCAGCCCTCAGGGGATGTCCACTTGCCAGCGGGGAGCAAACCTAAGCTGCAGTCGGACATTCTTAGTGCTGCTGAGGAGGCAGGGGAGGCTCCCACCACCACCGCTGTATTGGCAGCCATCAGCCTGGCTTGTGGCTGAGCAGAGCTCCCTCATGTGGGAGCACACGGACCACCAGAGGGCAGCTCCTGCATTAAGCATCTGGCCCCTGGTGGTCAGTGTGTGTCATAGTGACCAGTCATTCCCAGTCTTTCTGCTGTTAGGGTCAGTTTGCATATTATCCTTTTACTATATAGGATAGAGGCCTGGTACATGGGTGGGGGCCGGCTGGTTTGACAAGAATGGTGTCCCGGATTAGGGTGGGGGTCTCCACTGGGGTGCCTGGCCAGCCTGGATGAGGGGCTGATGGCTGTTTTCCAGCTGCCTGCACCCCTTCAGGTTGGGGGTCCCCACTGGGGTGCCTGGCCAGTCTGGATGAGGGGCTGATGGCTGTTTTCTGGCTGCCGGCACCCTCTTCAGGGTGGGGGTCCCCACTGGGGTGCCTGGCCAGCCTGAATGAGGGGCTGATGGCTGTTTTCCAGCTGCCTGCACCCCTTCAAGTTGGGGGTCCCCACTGGGGTGCCTGGCCAGCCTGGATGAGGGGTTGATGGCTGTTTTCTGGCTGCCGGCACCCTCTTCAGGGTGGGGGTCCCCACTGGGGTGCCTGGCCAGCCTGGATGAGGGGCTGATGGCTGTTTTCAGGGGGGCCAAGCCTGCAACTGAAGCTCCCAGTCTCTCCTTTTTTTCTTTTTCTTTTTTTTTTTATTCTGGGATTTATTTACCTTCTGTAATTGAAACTTTGTTGCGGCTCCAGTTCCGAGGCCGGCTGGCTGAAAGCAGGTATCTGGGGTTTGTTTAGCTTCTATAATTGCAGCATTGTTGCTTAGACTGGAGCTCAGAGCCCGGCTGCGGCAGAAGGGGAACCTTGGTTTCCTCCATCACTGGAGCAAGCAAGCCTCATGTTCGCTTCAGCTGCCTGGCTGCTGGCCGCCATCTTTGTTGGCAGTTAATATGCATATCGCCCTGATATGGGAAGCGTAGCAGAGGTATGGTTAATTACCATGTTTGTCTATTATTAGATAGGATAGGCATTACCTATGGACACAATAGGGTGGTGAAGGCTTAGGGCGGGCAGGAACCGGGTTGAGAGTGATGCGGGGGGGGTGGGGGGGGGTGGAGGAGGGACATCTGTAAGGTACATCAACAATAAAGATTAAAATAAACAAACAAACAAATGACTAAATGTTCTATAAAAAATTTAAAAATCTCACCTTTGCTTTCTGGTATTAAACAACAGTAGCAGCATCTAGGTCCTACTTCTCAGTGAAATGCCTTTTTGATAGCACAAAGCAAGGTTTCTTTTGTTTTAATTTGGTAATGTTTCAAGTCCAACTTAGTTCCATCACTTACCTCCCCACAGCTTGATAGTCAGGGAGCAATAATTCCCTTATCTGTGGGCTGTTTAAGGGTGATATAGCACTGCCCTGGGAGCAAAACAAACTAAGGCCGTTTTCCAGATGCATGTTTTAAAACTTTCAGCTGGAAAGACCTTCATTATGTGAAATTTATTCTGATTATTGTAAGTCAAGATTTGATCTTATTCAGAAACAAACCCATAAGTTGACCTCTGGCTATTGCCTCCTAAATTTCTGGCTCTAGGCCAGGGGTGGAGAACCTTTTTCCTGCCAATGGCCATTTGGATTTTTATAACATCATTCTCAGGCCATACAAAATTACCAACCTAAAAATAAGCCTGCTCTATTTGGTCAAACATTTAAATAACTTATCCCTAATGCCTGCCAGGGCCAGACCAAATGATTTCTTGGGTCTTATACAGCCGGTGGACCTGCCATTCCACACCCGTTCCAAGACATATGAACATCTCATTTGTAGATTTCAGGCAGACAGAGGTTAGAATCTGGCAAATGTGACCTCAACAGCAGATAAAGTGTGTCAAGACTGAGAGGAATTATGAACACTGTTATAGAAATCACCTTTTTAAAAGTCACCTGTTGTACAAAGCACTGCAGTCTCTTCCTTTCTTTCTTGTCCTTTGCCAGGTTGTGTTTGAGGGTCCCCCATCCAAGAGGCACCCCAAACATTCCATTTCCTGTTTTTGTTGCCTACATGCAATAATGCTGAAAGTCTGTAGTAGTAGATCTTATCCTACCTGAGTACATTTTGTTTTTTATTTTTTAATCCTCACCTGACAACATTGATTCTAGAGAGGAAGAGAAACACGGATGTGAGAAACATTGATAGGTGACCTCATGTGCACCCCCTGCTTTGGATCAATCCTGCAACCCAGGCATATGGCCTGATGAGAAATTGAACTGGAGACCTTCCCCATGCACAGGAGTATGCTCTAACCACTGAGCACACCAGTCATGGCCATTTTGCATTTTTTCTTTGCATTTTCTACTAGAGGCCAGGTGCACGAAATGTGTACACACGAAGGGGTGGTCCCTCAGCCCAGATTGTGAGAGGGCACAGGCCAGGCTGAGGGCCAGGGTGCACTGTCAGGCCCACAGGCCCACAGGTGCAATATCAGGGCCAGAGAGGGGTGCAGGAGCCTGGGCAACCAGGGAGGGACCGAGGGAGAGCTCCAGCACATGTCCGGCCCATCTTGCTCAGTCCCAACTGGCCAAACCCCAGTAGCAAGCTAACCTACCGGTTGGAGTGTCTGCCCCCTGGTGGTCAGTGCACATCATAGCAAGTGCTTGAGCGGCCTTGACATCATTTTCATATTACACTTTGATTGGTTGAATGGATGCCCGAATAACCAAACACTTAGCATATTAAGCTTTTATTACATAGGATACTTTTTTTGGCTCATTGGGGACAAACATGCTAAGGATTCCTCTGTGCATAAACAGAATAGCAAGACAAAGCAGTCAATACTTGTGTGTGAGATTGAGTCTGTGCTGCTGACAAGACTGCCGTGCTCCGCCCTGGCCCAGTGGGTTGGAGCATCTCACCTGGTACATCAGAAGGTCCCGTTGTATTCATGGATTCCTGGCCAGGGCACATACCTAGGTTGCGGGTTCAATCCCCATCCAGGAAGCAACTGATCAATGTTTCTCTCACATCCATGTTTTTGTCTCTCTCCCTTTCTCTCTCTCTTAAAAAAAAATCAACATATTCTCAGGTGAGGATTATAAATATATAAACAAAACAGGGCGTGTCCATGCTGCAGGTCCATACAGTTTGGGTAGGTTGAGGGAGCAGGGCGAAAATAGGACTTTCAGTGCAACTCTGAGCCTACAAACAGCAAGGCTGTGATGAGGCCAGGGACCCAGATTGACCTCTGGGGCGGGCTCCCCCTGCGGGCGAGCAGGAGGCAGCCAATCCATGATTGCTCTCATCATCGTTGGTGATTGCTCTCCCTCTCTGAAATCAATAGAAATATATGTTTAAAAAAATAGATATGTGCCAAAACCGGTTTGGCTCGATGGATAGAGCGTGGCCTGCGGACTGAAGGGTCCCAGGTTCGATTCTGATCAAGGGCATGTACCTGGGTTGCGGGCACATCCCCAGTGGGGGGTGTGCAGGAGGCAACTGATGGATGTTTCTAACTATCCCTTTCCCTTCCTCTGTAAAAAATCAATAAAAATAAAAAAATAAAAAATAGATACGCAAGTCATCAATTCAAATCCAATAGCAAGTACGTGAAATTAAAATAATTTATTCCTAACTTGAATAAATGTTTGTTATTGTTCTTTCTGAGGCCCCTGTCGTGCGAGCGCCGTTTGAGTAGCTCCGTATGCGGGGAAAGCACTGAAGCCCGCAGCCCGGGGGTCCTGGGCGCGCGCAGCCGGCCCTTGCGGCCGCGAGGGGCCGGACTGAAAGCTGGTCGGAGCGGCCCATTCCGGCTGGGGGTTGCTCGTCAGGCCACGGCCCAGTCAGCGCGCCGGCGGAGCCCCCGGGCTCTGAGCAGAGTCCCGGGCCAGATGCTGGCAGGGCGGGGCGGGGCCAGGCTGGACTACAAGTCCCGGCGCGCCCTGCGCTCGCGGGCGGGGCGGGGCTGAGCCAGGCTGGACTACAAGTCCCGGCGCACCCAGCGCTCGCGGGGCCGGCCCGGCATACACCGCGCCTGCCGCCGACGCGGCCCGAGCGGCCTCGGCTGTGTGTGCGGCGCCGCCGGCCCGCCTCCTGGGGCTCCTCGCTGCGGGTCCTCCTCGAGTCCTATCGCTCGACAGCGGCCCGACCCTGCCAAGCCGCCTTTAAATTCAACGCCAGCCAATACCGTGCGCCGGTCGGGCCACGTGACGGCGCCCGGAGGGGCCCGGCGGCGCTCGCGGAGCCCCTGGAGAGCCCCTCCGCGCGTCCCGTCACCCTGCCCCGGTGGCTGCCGGGATACGGACGGCTCGGGCCGGTCCCGCTCAGTCCTCCAGCCGCGGGGGCCCTCCAGTTCCGCCGCCGGCGCCGCCGCCCGCCCGTCCGCCGCCCGCGGGCCGCTTCTCTGGGCCCCCCAGGCACATGGCTCCATGAGGCAGGAAAAGGCGGCGCGCGAGAGGTCCCGTCCGCCCCGGCTGCGCCTGGCCCGGGAGAGAAGGTGGGACTCGGCGGCGCCTCCCCGCCGGCCGCTGGCCTCCTCCCCGGGGTCGCGGCGAGGGCCCGGGCCAGGGCGGGGGGAAGGCGGCGGCGGGGGAGGCCTGCGGGCCGCGTGTCCCACGAGGGCGCGGCCTCCGGAAACAGTTTCGGGTCCGGATAAAGTTGGGGGGGTCTCGGACCTCCCGGCGGCTCCCGCCCTGCCACGCGCGGCCTTCCCGGCCCCAGCTCCCCCTCCCCGGCCTGCTCGGCCCGCGGCGCGCCCTCCGCTCCCGCTCGGTCTCGTCTTCCTGCTCCGCGCGCCCCTCCTGCCCGGTTTGTGTCTGCCGCCCCCCCGCAGTCCCTCCCTCGCCCACCGGAGCCCCGCGGCCTCCGCCTCCCCCCCCCCCCCGGGCTGCCCGCCCCTCCCAGCCGGGTTTGCCCTTCATCCCCCGCCCTTCCTGGCGTGTCCCGACCTGAACTCCACTCCGCCGCCCCGCCCCGCCCCTGGTCCCCGCGGGCCTCCGCTCCCACGGCCCGCGGCGCGGCTCCGGCAGAGCAGGCAGGGCCGGGTCTCCCGCGGGCCAGCCGGAGCGCGCGGTCCCTGCTCCGCGGGGAGCAGAGGGGGATGGCGGCTCCGAGCCGGCGGCCTGTCCGCGGGGGCGCGGCCCGCCCTCGGCCCGCCTGCTGTCGGGGACCCTGGGCGCCGGCCTGCAGCCGAGGATGGGCGATGCGCCTGTGTGCGGAGGCCGGGGAGCCTGCAGCGGCTCACCTGGGCCCGCGAGCGAGTTTGGATATAAATTGGTGGCGGAGGAAGCCTTAATGGCCTCATGTTCAGGTGCAGCAGGACCTTCGCCCCGGTGTCCTCGCCGCTTTGTGGTGATGCCCGGGATGCGGGCGCCCGGCCCGGAGCTGTAGGTTTTGAAACGGTTTGAAGTGAGGAGAGCCTGCCTGTTCCTGGGCGGCTTGTGTTTTTAGCAGTTGCTCTGTTGGACTGTAGTTTTTCAGAAACCAACTCTTAGTAACATCTACGCTACCTTGGTTTTGTTCATTCACTGCACCTGCATTTCCATCTTAGGTACAGGAAGGAAGAATGGACTCGGAAGGAAGAAAATTCATTTCAGAGACAAAATAGCTCCCCTCCTCTGTTATAGCTGTGTCCCTGGCAATACAAACTTCCTGCTTCAGTGAGTATTACCTCGGATATCTAGCATAGAAGTTCGTTGTTTGTTTTAGGCCTGTGTTGGGGCTTTGGGGTATAGATTTTACTTTGTTTACTTGATTTTTCTACTTCCATGTGGGGGTCTTAATGTTGAAGTTCTTTCCACTTGCTCTCTTTTAAAATATGCAAAGACAAGTTTATTGTTCATACTCCCAGTAGAGTGACCTAGGTGGTGGTACATGTAGTATTCACTACACTTACCCTCTTTGTCTTAATACATAAGTCTGGCTCTGTCCCTTCACAAATTACTCTTTTTAAAAAAACAAAGAGCATAACAGTGCAGTTCCTATCAAGGTCAGTTATAGGGTCTCTTCCATACAGTTAAGAGTGTTCAGAGATTTTTGGAACATTTTGCCCTAAATCTGTTATGGTGATGGTGATGCTATTATCTTGAAAATAATTAAAATCCTACATGAAAACATAATTCTGGGGAAAAAATTACTATTGATTTTTAGAGGAGTGGGGAGAGGGAAACATTGATTGGTTGCCTCCTGTACTCACCCTGACCAGGAGTCGAACCTGCATCCTTTTGGTACATGAGTCAACGCTCCAGCTTAGGGAGTCACCCAGCCAGGGCTTCCTTTGAGTTTATTTTATTTTATTTTTTAATATGTTTTTATTGATTTCAGAGAGGAAAGGAGAGGGAAAGAGAGATAGAAACATCAGTGATGAGAGAGAATCATTGATTAGCTGCCTCCTGCATGCCCCACACTGGGGATTGAGTCCATAACCCAGGCCTGTGCCCTGACCTGAAATCGAACCATGACCTGGTTCATAGGTCGATGCTCAACTACTGAGCCACGCTGGCTGGGCCCTTTTTTTGAGTTTATTAATAATGGTACGAAAACACTTTAGAGAGTTTTTCAGAGTGCTTCGCATCTTTTTTATTTTTATATTTTGGTTAATCCTCACGCGAGAATATTTTTCCATTGATTTTCAGAGAGAGTGGAAGGGAGGGGGAGAGACAGAGAGAAACATCAATGTGAGGGCATCAATGTCTCACATCAATTAATTGCCTCCCGCATGTGCCCTACCAGGAGCAGGATCGAGCCTGCGACCATGGTATGTGCCCTTAACTGGAATCAAACCCGGGACCCTTCAGTCCGCAGACTGAGGCTCTATCCACTGAGCCAAACCAGTGAGGGCATGGTTTACATATTATTGGAGCCTCACAAACCCTTTGTAAGGGAGGTAGGGAACAAATATTTTCATTTTACAAATGGAAGAACTGAAGCCCAGCCCTGGCTGGTTTGGCTCAGTGGATAGTGTGTCAGCCTGCGGACTGAAGGGTCCTGGGTACAATTCCCGTCAATGGCACATGCCTGGGTTTGGGCTCAAACCCCAGTGTGGGGTGTGCAGGAGGCAGCCAATCAATGATTCTCTCTCATCATTGATATTTCTATCTCTCTCCCTCTCCCTTCCTCTCTGAAATCAATAAAAATATATTTTTTTAAAAAAAACGTTTTTATTGATTTCAGAGAGGAAGGGAGAGGGAGAGATAGAAACATCAATAATGAGAGAGAATCATCTATCAGCTGCCTCCTGCACGCCCTCTACTGGGTATTGAGAGCACAACCCAGGCATATGCTCTTGACAGGAGTTGTACCCAGGACTCTTCAGTCCTCAGGCCGATGCTCTATCCACTGAGCCAAACCAGCCAGGGCAATAAAAACATACTTAAAAAAAAGGAAAGAAAGAACTGAAGCCCAGAAAAATCTGGCACATAGTAAAGGGAAGGGATCTAAAAACAAAATAGAACTTTTGACTCCTATATTTATGTTTTTTTCTTTTAAGTTAACATGAAAATGTATAGTTCTGTGAAGTTTTCTAAGTCTAACGTTTAATTATATAGGTAAGTCTATATTTTGCAGGGAAATTTTTCACACAGCAAGTATTTTGTTTATGATGTGTGTGATGGGGTTTCAAAAATATGCAAATGATTATTTGAAATGATTACCAGAATGTTTGTGCGTTTTTCATTTGACTATTGTTTGGAATAGTTCCATAAGTCAGCCAGAATTGTATCTCAGGTGCCACTTCACTACTCCTGTGATGCAGTTTTTATTTAACTCTCTCTCTGACACACGAAGGAAACAGTCTATGCCCTTCTGTATTAAAGCTTGATTTGAACAGTCACCTGTATACTAATAAGAGAAAAAAAATGCAGAGACCTCGTTTTTCTTAGCCTCTTCCCTACTTCTACTACAAATATTTCCTGTAGTAAAGTGATGTCCCCTAGTTGACTATTTTGAGGCTTGTCTTCAAAAGGTGAAACCTGATTTTTTTTTCCACGTCCAGGCTTTTCTAGATATTTTAATCTGATTGATTTTTGAAATCTAACTTTGATGGAGTAGTGCTATCAGTACTCAATATATATGAAGACTTCCATGATAATAGCATATCTAGCAAGTTTAGTTTCTTTTTAGTATAAACTTAAGAGGAGCCAGATAGAATAGAACTGTGTACAGCTCTCCTTCAGCCCAATAGTCATTCTTTATGTTTCCTGCACTCACAGTGAGAAGAACAGTGGGTGGTTTATTAGAAATCGTTGCTCTTCCAGGAGGGAAGCATTACGGCCATTGGAATAATAATCCCAGATTAATATTATAATATTTTAAACTTCAAGGTGGTTCTTTTTTTTTAATTCTTTATTATTTAAAGTATTACATGAGTCTCTTTTTTTCCCCCATTGACCTCTCCCCCGCCAATCCTCCCACACAAGGTGGTTCTTAATCGAATTTTATTATGAAGGCACTTATTTCCTTCTTTCTTTTTTTTTTAAATATATTTTATTGATTTTTTTACAGAGAGGAAAGGAGAGGGATAGAGAGTTAGAAACATCGATGAGAGAGAAACATTGATCAGCTGCCTCCTGCACACTCCCTACTGGGTATGTGCCCGCAACCAAGATACATGCCCTTGACCGGAATCGAAACTGGGACCCTTGAGTCCGCAGGCTGACACTCTATCCATTGAGTCAAACCAGTTAGGGCTTAAGGCACTTATTTCTGTAGAAATAGTAAGAATTCAGAGCTATGTTGTTTTTGGAAACGACCCTACTTTTGTTAATAGAGGCACTGCCAGTATTGGTTATAGCAGGTACTTTAATAAATAGTAGTTATAAGTCAAAGAACTGCTTAAATGCTCTTAATGTGTTACTCATTGACTACTCACAAGTAACTCTGTGGGGTGGCAGAAGCCCAAGGCCATACAGAGTGGCAGCCTGCCTGAGTGCATTTCCAGTATGTGGCAAATCATAGCTGGGATTTGAGCCTGGACTGTAACCCAAAGCCTAGGCTCTGTCCTCAAAGATGGGAACTGGCAGCGTCAGCTTAGCGTTTGCAGTGATTTCGGAGTATTGGAGAGGAAGGCCACTTCAGTCAGGGTGTCCTCCCCTCAGTACTGGTCTTTATACCTTGTTTGTAAACATCAGCAATTTATAAGACAACATTTGTATTAGCTCCTGAAATCATAAATTGCCCTTCAGACAAATAAAAGTGCCCCATCAATTCAAAAAGAAAGAAAATTCTTTTCAAGTGCAGTTTAAAAAGTAGGTATAGTCTTCCCAAGGAAAGCCTCGAGCAACCTAAAGTTAATATCAGCTGAGGCTAAGTTCAGGATTGACCAGTTACTGGAGTGTTTTAGCAAAGAAGACAGCTACTAGCATAAATCAAACCATGAAGTTCATGTAGGGGATATTTCACCTAACTTTTGAATGAATTGTCCACATTGGCTATCCATTTTCCTATGAATTAAACCATTCCTAGGTTTGGGCTGAATAGAGTTAACATTGTTGATAAGAATAAATACTTAGAATTTAGCTCCAGTTTCTGACACACTCTCCAGTTAGCATCAGGATGGAACCAAGTATTTAAAGATTAGGTTGTGCCATAAACATCCTATCTAATAAAAGAGAAACATGGTAATTAGCCGTACCTCTGCCACCCTTCCCATTGGCTAATCAGGGCGATATGCAAATTAACCGCTAACAAAGATGGCGGCTAATTTGCATACTGAAGGCAGGGTAGGACAGTGCAAGCCGCAATCTAGGCCCCCCGTGTGCCATCGGAGCAGGCGGGGGCTGGGGCTAAGGCAAGTGGTGCTGATCACTACACTGGAGCCCTCCCCCACCCACCAGAGACACGGGGCTCACTCCCGTGTGTGATCCGGGGAGTGGGCGGGGGCTGGGGCCAAGGCAAGCGGTGCTGATCACTTCGCCCGCCTACCAGAGTCAGGGGGCCCACTCCCATGTGCGACCCGGGGGTGGGCAGGGGATCAGCGGCATTGCTTGCCTTAGCATAAGCCCCGCCCACCGGGAGCCGTCCAGCCCAGGGCCAGGAAGGCAGGAGGCAACCCTGGAGCGCTGGAGCCACCTGGCTCTCCCAGCTGTCTGCGCTTCATGAATCCCAATTTTCCGCGGAGGCGACGGCTGCAGGACCCAGAGCGGGAGACAGGAGTGGGCCAAGCGCGGCTCTGGCTTGGGCTTGATGGAGGGCACCGGCGCGGAGGACATCTCCCCAATGGGCAGCGACTCCCCTGCCGCCGGAGATCTCCTCTGCGCCGGTGCCCTCTGTCCTGCTGAGCCGCACTCAGCCTGCTCCCCTGTCACCTGCTCTGTGTCCTGCAGCCGCTGCCTCTGGGGAAACTTGCGATTCATAAAGCAAGGGTGGTGGTGGGGGGGGGGGGGGCACCTAAGAAGTCTCTGGCCACCACCGCCGCCGCCCCCTAGCTGGCTCCGGGCACTTGGGGCGCTGGCTACTGCTGCTGCTTTGGCTGCTGGAAGCTCCGCTGCTGCTTGGGGTCCAGGCGCAGGAGGCTGGCCAGGGGCCTGGGACAGGTCAGCAACCCCTGCCGCAGCCTCAGCAGCAACAGAGCGGGTAGCAATACAATGGTGAGCAGGGCCTGAGCCCCGCCCGCCCGGACATGGGGCCTTCTGAGAGAGAAGAGAGAGAGACGGAATTTGGC